TGAGGTGGGGGCGAGGGTTGTGAAATTTACCCAATAAATATTTTAATAAATTGTGTGCTACTTGCATTTACCATCAGATTGAAAAACAAAAAAGGAGAAACCAAATAATAATTTCCAAGCAGTTCTATTGTCAGCAGATTTAAGAATTTCTTCCAAAAAAATATAACTTTTTGAATAGAAAACAACAGGACAATCACGACAAGAAACAAAGTATTAAGGTTTAAATTTTAAAATTATAGAAAATAAACGATAGGTGGGTGCAGGTTCTCACAATGGGTCCATTCTTTAAAGCATGTTCCTTAGCAAATTTACATGCTTGCTTCACAGCGAGAGCATCCATTCCATCCACCTGTTGGGTAAATATACAAGAATTAGAACATATGGAAGAGGTTCAATATACCAATAACTAAAAAGGAAAGTGAAAAAAACATGTAAATGGAAAGATGGCAAAGTTCAAGTTATTTATTCCTTTAGAAGGAAAATATTAGAAGCAACCAAATTTTCTTCATAATTTATGCACATGTTGCAAGTTATCCAATAATCTAATATGAACAAACATAACATTTATGTCATAAAGCTTAAAGCTTATTTCCAAATTTTCAAAATTAGTAAACAACAGTATTTATGATAACATATTTAAAGTTATACATCAGCAGATTACAGCACATTTGAAATCATGCTGGAATTTCGAAATGCAATTTGTACCAAATTTTGATAGGCTTTTAATTCTGTCAATAATTGGACACTCTGATTAAAGTCCATGATTGGACACTTTGACTGAAGTCTATAAACTACCTTTTGCAAACTACCTTTTGCCAGTACCTTACTGAAACTTGTCTATGCATTTATTACTACATCACATGTGCAAGTTATACATAAAGGACAGTATATGGTGTAATTGCAAATAAAATTCTTCAACTATCAGCTACAAGAATTCTTCTCTTCTGTCAGAAAAGGATTTAACCAAATGATAAATTCAAAAATATGAGGATACCCCATTAAATTGACAAAGAAAATCTCCCTGGTTCATAAATGCCAACAACGCAGAGACAGGAGGTCGTGCTTTATAACAATCATATCCAAAGAGCACACTTAAAGATCTTTGTATAAGAATATTTTGGTCATAGAAAATTCATCAAGTGATCGTATCTTTAATTACAAATGAAAAGCTCAGCCTAGAATCCATAGGGATGCAGGACAAAACTAAAATCCTTTTAACTAATGTACAGGCACTAAAGCCCCTTTCTCATCTTAATTAGAAAAATATAGAAAGAAGTCATTTTAAAATTGACATGAATT